GAGAGAGAGAGAGAGAGAGAGCGCGCCCACGGGCACATCAGCCTGGGCGCCCTGCTGGGGTTCAGGTGGGGAGTGCGGGCGGCAGAGGCGGAGCTGGGGGCTCCCTCCAGACCTGCGACTTCTCAGTAGGAACCTCCAGCTCTGAGCAGTCGTGACCTTCGCTGAGGCTCCCCATGTCGTAGCAGGTTTACGGGGGTCGCAGCCCCACCGCGCTGGGGCCCATCGCCACGTCGGTTCAGATGATTTTTTTTAAAAAAGCCTTGAATTGTCTTCTGGTTAATATATTTTTATTGACTTCAGAGAGGAAGGGAGAGGGAGAGAGAGAGAAACATCAGTGATGACAGAGAGCCACTGATTGGCTGCGTCCTGCACGCTCCACACTGGGGATCCAGCCCACAGCCTGGGCCTGTGCCCTGACCGGGTATTAAACCGTGGCCTCCTGGTTCCTAGGTCGGTGCCCTGCCCCTGAGCCACGGCGGCCGGGCTCGGTTCAGATGAAAGTAGAGATTCGTCAGTTTTGTAACGTGTGGGTGCATTTCTGTGGGTTCCCTCCCCCTCCCCCGCCCCACACAGAAACCCGCTTTTCCCTCCCCTCCCTCCTTCCCTGGCTTCCTCCCTCCCTCTCCTGATCCATGTTGAGAATGTGTTGCTGGCACCGTGGCCTCCGCCAGGCACAGGAGCCAGTGTCTCCCAGAGCGAGGACGCTCTCCGGGAACCGTGGGATGGGCATCGTTGCTCTCCGAGCAGCGGGCAGCGTGTGGCTGCTGCCATCTGCAGGGACACAGGTCCTGTCTGTCTGCCCTATCACTGGGAAGGCCAGGTGGCTGTGCCCTGGAGCCCCTCCTCCCTGTGCTGAAGCGGGCGATGCCTGGAGGCTGCTTTCCTGGGTCTCCACCTGGAGTCCCGGGCCCTGGGAGCAAGAACGGCCATCAGTGGCCCTCAGGCTCCTGGACACTCGGGGTTTCCCTGGAGGAATGGCCCGGAGCGCACATCAGCCTCGCCAAGGGCCCCGGCGCCCCGCTCTGCGACCAGGTGAAGGCTGGGAGCATGGCTGGTCGGACAGGCGTCAGCGGTGCGGCTGGAGGGACCCTCGCTGCACTGCCGGGGGTGGGAGCTGCTGCCTCAGCAGAACCTGGGCCCTGGGCTGCACCCCAGCTGCAAGGAGGGTGTGGGGAACCCCCAAGCGTGCTGTGCCTCCGGACGGGTGCCCACTGCAGTGTCCCCCGCAGCCGCGCACAGCAGGGCCAGGCCGGTGGCGGAGGTGGTCGGGGCTGGACACTCCAGGCGGGCAGGTGTGTGTGTCAGCAGGCGGACGCTGCCCGGAGCTCGGCCACTGCATCTTTCTGTTTTCTTTTTTTAATATTTCTTTTATTGATTCCAGAGAGGAAGGGAGAGGGAGAGAGAGATGGAAATATTGACAATAGCCGAAACCGGTTTGGCTCAGTGGATAGAGCGTTGGCCTGCGGACTGAGGGGTCCCAGGTTCGATTCCGGTCAAGGGCATGTACCTGGGTTGCGGGCACATCCCCAGTGGGAGATGTGCAGGAGGCAGCTGATCGATGTTTCTCTCTCATCGATGCTTCTAACTCTCTATCTCTCTCCCTTCCTCTCTGTAAAAAATCAATAAAATATATTAAAAAAAATATTGACAATAAGGAGAGAATCATCGATCGGCTGCCTCCCGCATGGCACACAGCGGGGACCGAGCCCACAGCCTGGACGTGTGCCCCGACCTGGAACCGAACCGTGGCCTCCTGGTTCGTAGGTGCACATGTGCAGCCTGAAAGGAACGAAATCCTGACACACACGGCAACGTGGGGGATCCTTAGGGACAACCTGCGGAGTCACAGGGTCACAGGGTGTGACTCCAGGTACGTGACGCACCCGGAGTCAGACTCACAGACTGACGGCAGGATGGTGGTCAGGGTGGTGGTGACCGCAGGGGCGAGGTGTTTAATGGGATCGGAGGGTCAGTGTTGTCAGCTGAAGAGGGTTCTGGTCCCGGCCTGTGTGGCTCAGGCAGTTCAGTGTCCTCTTTGCACCGAGGGGTTGTGGGTTCGGTTCCCGGTCAGGGCCCATGCCCAGTGGGGACCATGCAGGCAGCCGGTCGATGTTCCGCTCTCACATTGATGTTTCTCTCTCTTGCAAATCAATTTTTTAAAAACCATGTTTAGCCCGGTCCGCGTGGCTCAGTGGTTGAGTGTTGACCCAGGAGGTCACCGTTTGATTCCCGGTCAGGGCACAGGCCCGGGTTGTGGGCTCGATCCCCCGTGTGGAGCGTGCAGGAGGCGGCCAATCCATGATTCTCTCTCATTGATGTTTCTCTCTCTCTCCCTTCCTCTCTGAAATCAATAAAAATATACTTTTTAAGAAACCACTCATATTTTAGAGAAAAGGTGAAGGGAGTTCTGGGGCTGGGTGGCGGGGACTTTGTGCAGTCTGCTCTCTGCCACCTGCTGCCACGGTGGGGAAACGGTGCAGGCACAGTAATAAATGTTTGAGCCTGGCTGTGTTCCAATAAAACTTTATTTACAAACAGGCAGCTCTACCGTGACAGGAAGTACCTTCCTGGACGCAGGGGCTGGGGAAGGGAGCCCCAGGGAGCCAGTGCTAGACAGTCGGACGGTTTGCACAGCATGGTGGCAGTGCGAAATGCCATTCGATGGGGCATTTTCCAATAGCACCAGCAGTGCATTTGACGTTCATCTTTATTTTACCGCCACACACACACACAAAACACCCACTTAAAAAACACGGTGGCCTGTCCCCCCGGCTGTGGTCTGTCAGCAGACACAGGCAGGCCTCCAGAAAAAGCAGAGTTGAGGAGGATGAGGAGGAACATGCGAAAGAACGCAGTCCTGCGGCTGCCGAATAGTCAGCGCACGCGGCCCCTGCCCTCCCCGGAGCCTGGCACATCGGCTGTCCCCGGATCGGATCGGGTGGAGGCGATTCCCTTTAAGGAAGTGGCCGAGGGAGAGAGAGAGGGAGAGGGAGAGGGCGGCCCCGAGACACCAGCACACTCCGGGCCTCTCCGGAGATGGGCCCTGACCAGGCAGACATTCCTGGCATAGCAGCCGGGTCCTTGGCCAGCTGGGCCGCCCAAGGTGTTCCCTTGGCGTTAGGCCCAGGTGCCACCAGGGGGCGCCAGCGGGGAGCCCGGGCTGGGGGGTTGGGCCCTCAGCCAGGGGTGGAGGGGATGAGTGCCTGGGACCCGTGTGGACAGGGCACGGCGTTGCAGCCTGTAGTGCGGATACAGCACACACATTCCCGAGAGCTACTCCGTGGTGGCGGCTCCCTCGGGCCGCAGGGAGTGGGATGGAGTCAGCGAGGGGCACACGGGCTCTGTCGTCGTCGTTTTAATTTTAAGGCGAGCGGTGATATGTGGGGTGCTTTGCCACGGCTGTCCACTGGAAACCAGTGTGAGCCACGGAGTCATTGTACATCTCCGAGAAGGTGCATTTTTAAACAAGTCAGAAGAGTCCGGCTGGGGTGGCTCAGTTGGTTGGGCCTCGTTCCACACGCTGAAAGGTCACCGGTTCAGTTCCAGTCGGGGCACGTTGCTGGGTTGTGGGCTGGATCCCGACAGGAGGAATGCAGGAGGCAGCCCATCAGTGTTTCTCCCTCGTTAATGTTTCTCTCTCCCTCTCCCTTCCTCTCTAAAAAATCAATAAAATATATTAAAAGACTATTTATTTAATGTGAGTAGCAGATTTCAAAAGAAATAATAGAAAAATAAGAAGAGTGTGATGCCATGGAATCCAATGTAAGAGATTGTTTCAAGAAAGAAAACTTGATTTATAGTATCAAATGCATGTGAGAGGAGAAAGAAGGAAAAGAAGAAAAGTCCATGTTATTAAGAGACTCACAGGCCATTAGTGACCTTTGAGGAGGGCTGTCGGTTTGAGTGATGGAGGTGGAGGACAGAGTGGAGGGGCCAG